CTTGCTGACCATATCACGATCAACTGCTCTGCTGAGCGGATAAGCAGAGAAATCCTACAAAAGTTCAAAACTTCTAAAACAGTTCAGTAACCAGAGTTTCAGAAGTATAGGTTCTGCTAAAAAAGTTTATCTGTACCTCTTTCCTGCAAAACAATTATTTCTCAAAGTAAAAATTAAAACAAATACAGCTCCAAAATCGAAAAAAATCTCTTAATATAATCCTTATTTCGCATTCCAGCCAGGAAGGGATCAAGTGGTAGACTACACCTTTAAAAAGAATTCCGAAAAACAGTTGCTGATGTAGCGCCCATAAAAATGTTTTCTAAACTAATGCTGCAACTCTTTTCGACAATTATTCAACCTCTTCAAAAGTTAGTGGTGAACATTGACCCAAAAAACTAAAACTGGTGGAGAAAAGAGATCAACAACAGTAATGTACTGTACAAAAAAAGACACTCAACCAGAAATGAAGAAATAACCCCTTGTTAAATGGAATAATGAATATAAGCTTGGAAGAAAATCTGGATCAAACCTATTGCCGACGAAGTTAAAAACCAAAACCTCAAAGTGAATGCACAAAACAGTGACGCTTCACCAACGCTCTCCCATATAAAGAACATTATTTTACCAAATAAGATTGCAAAGATTAATAAAAAAAATGACTCTTACTACTTGAAAAAGTATTTTTCCGGTAATATATTTTCAACAGAAAACAACAAGACAATAATAAAAGAAACAGACCACGTCATGTTAAGATACCCGTTTTTATGTTAAAACAATACAAAAAAGTGTACACACATACTTAAAGTACGTCATAATAGCCACTCAACAAAGTCCATTACTTGGTGATACCGGTTAGTATTACGGACACAAAAAGAAGTAAGCACCAGAAAGCAGTAAAAAAGAAAACGATCCCTTTAAACGTCTTCACAATCCTAATGTTACAACCAGTTCTTTTAGGAAATCCTTTAGTTAAAAAAATCAGAAGTAATAAGGAGTAAAAAAATTTGAGTTAGAAGAAAAAAGAAGTACTCTAGAAGGTAAGTTGGAAGGAGAATTCAAATTTAGGAAACAAAATCAGGATCTGGCAACCGCCGAAATACTGCAGGCCACTTTTTACCAGCATTACGAGTGACTTTTTGCCCTTCTTCCGTACTTTCAAACAGCAATTCAACGACAGGATCAGCTTTCATCTCCTCCTCATTCAATCGTTCAAACAGTGGATGTTCACTCAAATGCTTCACCATCCACAAATGTAGATCCTCAACGTCCGTAATGGTGTATATCAGACCTACAACTTTGAATACTAATTAACTGGCAACCAGTTGGAAATACCCTTTTTTCAAGTATTCAGAAAATAAGAACTGAAACTCGAAAGTTTGACAAATTGAAAAGCGCAACAGTTTGTAAAAGGCTGAACAATAAAACTATACATTTCAAGAAAGTTATCTTGACAACGTTTACCTCCAAATTTCAGTAAATAGGCATATTCAGCCAAGAGTTGCGGCGTAATAATGCGCCATTTGTGTTTTGCTTTTTTAAAATGCGGGTCAGGATACAGAAAGAACATTTTAGATAACTGATGACGCTTAAAATAATTTGGCAAATACTTCATTGCGTTAGTTCGCAAACAAGCAACGTTACAAAAGCTTCCAGGGTTTCTTGATTGAAGAGCTTTGATCCTGTCCTGCACAAAATCACATACCTGAAATTCCTCAAATGTCACAAATGAAATTCCTAAAAGCTGCCAAATCCCTCACCAGCAATGATCCCAACCAACTATCAGTAATCTTAAGAAACTAATCAACTACATCCAAGCTTGTGACAAAATTAAATGCAATTAACAAAAAAATGAAAGCTGTGACCTTAACACGAATTTCTAAACCAAGCATCAGTGACTCTGGATAAAGTTCTGACAGTTTCACCAATAAGCCTCCATATCCACATCCGATATCAACAAAATCAACCTTCCGCCCTTTCGCATATTCACCATAATAAGCACTCCAGTCAACACTTGCGAGAAACAATATATAAGGCTGAGGCACTAAGAAAAACAACCAAAACAGGAATTTCAACCACGAATTCAGTTTTAAAAAACTCACTCATCAGGGTTTCTCGGATAATGTAGGTCATGATCCGACATTGGATTTGCATGAGCTCGTTGCCTATAATACTTCTTCTGTGGCATGTCACACACCTCACTTCCGTTACTGCTCCGTTTGTCCCCGACAACTTTTAAATCCCCCATCTTGCTAAGTACAACGAGTTCTAAAATAATGCAACAACTTTCACAGCAGCTAACAATTAGACTCTAATTACGCCGAAATCTGCAACACTCCTCCAACAAACTCTTGACTCACTAAAACTAAAAAATAAGAAACGTAAGTTACTCAATCTCAGAGGTAAACAAGTCATTGACTGACATATCACATTAAAGTGAGCCTCAAAACTGAGCATGATCTTTCGCGTGCAATTCTTTCTGACCAATCCCCGAAACACTTTAATATTTCACAAACAAGATAGAGTCTTCCCAGATGAACAACTAACGCAACCAACAGTAACGGGTTCCACAAATGACTGACAGAATAATGGTATCGGCCAAACATCATACTACAAATTCATCACCTGCGAGAAACAAGAAGAAAGCCTCTACGCTTCAATAACAAGTACTTGAAAAAACAATTTAAAAAATTCTGTAGAAAGAAATGCAGCCCAAAAAACCAAAATAGACAACTAATGCACAAGAAAACCCCACTAAAGACGAACACTAAAAACTTCTCCCCAACAAAACAAACACTACCGAAAACCTCAGAATTTTCGAATAACAGCACATTACAAAAAACTCTACATAATGACAAAACTCTGTTAAACCTTTTTATATTACCTACATCACTGAAATCAGTAAGTAAGAAATAAAACAACCAAACCATGAGTAGAAATGTCACAACCATATTTAACCGACTTGCTTAACACTTAAATGAAAGACATCCTTACGCAGAAACTCAGATTTCCCACAACACAAGCGAACAAAAAACAAACTTTGTAAATGAGACGTTCTTTGGTGTTAGTATATCTCAGACCTTCACGCATAAAAAAATCTCTTGCTTTAACAACTGGAAAGGGTGCAAGATTACCGCAAATCTACAAAGTTTGAGTGATTAAACATGTCAAAAAAACAGTCGAACAAAAGGTAGCGAAATGAAAAACAAATCAGGACAGGAAAGATATGTCTATCCATATACAATTCAAAATCAAGAGCAGAGTCAATTTAAAAAACTTGATCTCATTCTGTACTAACATCTGTAAACAAAAATTAAACGGTTCAACAGTCGAAAAAAGTACATGTTAATCTCGACGAAAGACAAATTGCAAACAGATTCTACAAAACAAACAAGAAAGACCTGCCCGTAAAACAGAAGATTCAGTAAAAAAATAACAATTAATCACAAATTATAGATTTTTTGACCCACCGAGAAATAGAAGAATCTTAAAATTACAGATCACTAACAAATCTTTTTTGCTGCTTTTCAAAAGGATTATAAATATGGCGTTTTCTCCTCTGTGTAGGCAGCTCAATGGCAGTAACCTGAATTTAAAACTCAATCATCTAAACTTATTAAAGTGTATACATGATATATACATAGAAAAATTAAGGAAAAAAATCTGTCTAGAAACAAACCTTTAAAGGCCAACCACCACCAATAACCCCAGCTTGAATCGAAGCACCGGTCACTACAGCTAATTCTGGATCAACACCATGATTTGCAGGCTTCCTGGAAGTATAATTGTATGTTTATGAAAATTTTAAATCAAACTTAAAACACCATCTGAAGATCGTAGAAGCGATGTGTCGAAGCAAGACAATTGAACTAACCCAAAAAATGTTCCAACAATTCGTCGCACCCTTGGAATACGTGTAGAGCCACCTACAAGTACAATCTCGTCTATATCTGAACGCTCAATATTTGCGTCTTCTAAAGCTGCTTTTATAGGTTCAATTACGCTTTCAAAAAGATCCTCGTTGAGCTCTTCAAATTCTTCACGCGTTAACTAAAAAAATCTGGTAAAACGTTATGAACCATCTCGAAACCAGATCAATTTTCGGAAAAGTCATCCCAATAATGAAGAAAGAGTGAAAAATCCACCCTATAACGAAATCGACTTTTTAAGGACTGAAAATATAAATCAATCCTAGTTTCAGGAAATGTCGACAATTGTATTTTGGCAGTTTCACTAGCCAGGAGCAGTTGTTGTAAATCTTCTTTGCTTGTCAGTTCCACACTATGTTCTTCCTTGATTAACTAAAATTACACAAAATCATTAGTAACATGCCCGATAAAAAAAATCAAAAAGTAAATACACCCGTGGAAACTGACTGCCATTAGCCGCTTCAAAATACGATTGTTAAAGTCTTGACCTCCCAATCGATTGTTACCTGCCATTGCTAAAGTCATAAATACTCCGCCCTGCAAACACAAAACAGATACGTCCATTGTGCCGCCACCTAAACATCAATTTCTGTTTTACTAAAAACCTGAAAACTCATTCCAGCTGATCTAGTGCACTTGTAAGAGGACGTAATACTGGCAAATCATCTTACCCAGATCCACTACAAGTATGTACTCAACGCCCTGTTTCTTGTCTAATCCATAAGCCAAAGCTGCAGCAGTTGGCTCACTTACCACTCGTCTAACTTCAAGACCTGAATTTCCTTACATAAAAAGAGACGCATCAAAACCGTCACCAGCTTTAAGAAAACCTACTAAAGAGCACAGAAAGAAGGAACTTTAAAATTTCAAGAATTAAGAGTTGCTGCTAAATGCCATAAATCTAAACCCATTACCAGCAAAATTAGCAGCACGACCAGTAGCATTCCGTTCCATCTGATCAAACTCAGCCGGGACCGCAATCACTGCTTGGTCGATGCGAGAATTAATACTACTTTCTACTGATTCCTTCAAGTATCGAATTATAATTGATCCAATTTTTTCAGGAGTTAGTTTCCTAAATGACCAATCAACATTTAACTTAGTTTAAAAGATCCCCAAAAAAAATTTATAGAAATGTTCGCAAGATACAGATAACTGTTCAGGTAATAAGAAGAATGCAGCTAAACCCTTGAAAAAATATAACACTTACAGAAGACCTTTATCTAACGGAATCTCAAAAAAGACCGATCCATTTTCATCAAGTTTGATAGTAAAAGGATAACGTTCTTTATCCGCCTGAAAAAGATCTTCACAGAAGAGAAGAGCAGTCAGTGTAACACTTAAGTGTAAATTGAAAACTTAATAAGCAAAAAATCCCATAATAATACCTGAAATACTTTGTCATCTTCAGTTAACTTCTTTCCTATAAAGCGTTTTGCGTCATATATGGTCCGTAATGGATTTTTTTCTTGTTGTTCGACCGCTTTGTGACCAACAAGAACGGTACCATTAGGCCTAACAAATTTTTAAAAAGAAATAAGTGAAAGCAGAAAACGTAACGCCTTTCAAAAAATATTGAAACTGCTCAGTCTTCCGATAAAAACCGACAGTAACTGAATATAAGGAGAACTACCAAAGCCTACAAGAACAGTACAATGAAAAAATCTAGTATCAACGAGCATTCACTTACAAAAAGGACACAACACTTGGAATACTCCTTCTCCCATATTTATCAGGAATTATATCAACCTGACCAGATACTGCATGATAAATACCAATAGACGAAAAAGTAGTGCCTAAGTCGATTCCTACAATCTTCAGTGTCGGAGGTGGCAAGCCATACTCCCTGACCACATAGCCAAGAATAGCCAAGCCGGCAGTTACTTAAACACAGCGCTACTTATAATAATTTTTATAAATGAAAATCAATGAAAACAAAAGAAAAAAAACAAGTCTCTTTTTTAAATGACGTTTATATAAGTAAATGTTCAAGCCAATTGCATGGTGACATAAGATTAGCAATTGTAAATCTAGTTCTTTTCAGACTAAGAATCACTTTACAAATCCGAAATAAGATTGCTTGTCAGTTTTACACTAGTTATGTGATAGACCAAAACTTCAAATTTTGCTTGATAGGCTAAGGCTCACCAATTAAGAAGACACCAGATGACATAAATTAGTCCTGCGATGGTTTTATAAATGTCTGCCGCATTGTTGCATGATATGAACTATACAGTGAAGATATCAGCGACCGATTCCGTGGAACCCTGACTACTCGTGAAAATGAGGGACTATGCAGACAGATTCAAACTTGAGAGGCCGTAATTGAAAAGTCAATTATGAAGGAAATATTCCTGACGAACGGTTCCACTAAGACAAAGTCTATTTTAAAAAATTCAATTTACAAACAGTTTTCCCTCACAATTTTTCTGTCATTATGAAACAGTTACTCTAGTTTCAAATGATTCACAAACAGAAAATTAACATCCAAATGAAATGTAGAAGAAGTATAAAAACATTAAAACATCGATCGATCTTCAAACACCAAACAACACTTGTACAAATTAACGCCTCAAAAATGTTTGAAGCAATCAATCTTTCCTTTTTCACTTATCTGGGTTTCTATAAATCATTGGCAACAATTCCACTGCAAAAGGTTTCAAAAAAAAAGTAGAAAAAACAAGCGCTAAATACACAGGAATGGAAGTGAATGTATTCAGCTTATAAAACTACAAGTGAATTAAAAAGTTTTTCTGTTCAGTATGAACAAACTGCAAAAAATTCATTTGAAAGACAAATACTACCATAAAATCTTTATATGCCTAAACTATCAGGTATTTCTGGATTTTTCTGGTAGGTTTTTATGGAAGAACTGCTGTAGTTAGTCAAAATCTCACTGTAAAGTTCCGACAGGGCACTTTTTATCAAGAAACAAGCGTCCCGATGAACAAAAAAAGCCAGAACGTAGATTCAACAAAACAATGGAATATGACATTAATAGTAGGGCCTACATGGCCGTTAACCATAGACATTGTACGGTGTTGAAATACACACACGCACGTACACATACTGCTGCTACTTGAATTGCATGATCTCAGTCCCGATCTGTCACATTAGTCAGTGAAATCTCCACTATTCAGAGTAGACGATAATCAACGACAATCATTCCTCTTGGCATTATTCCAGCTTCCTGCAACACCGATATTTGCACCCGTCTCAAACACGTCCCTTTTACTCCTCGTCTATCGTCGTACAGCGAATTCAGTATATTGTCTTCTGAAAAAGTGGTACTCCGCTCTCATGCGAAATTTAAACAGTCTTCTAAATAAATTTGTAAAAATATTGGTGAAAAGTCGCAGAAATACGAGTACTGGATTTCTATGAAAACATACGTCTTTTGTTTGTGCATTAGCTATGTAGGAATAGTAACTTTTACGAGTAAATTTTCTCCCTTACGGTTCTCAACTTCGATGAAACTGCACAGAAGAAGTATAAACAAGTTTCTCCTTCTTCTGAATGAGGCTATACATGTACACAGTCTGCGAAAGTTGTTCTCATGCCGACCTAATGGATATCACTGTCACTAACGGTAATCAAACACAGTGTTCGTACCAGTTACCATGTACGGTTTTGTAGCAGCATGTCTTTAAAGTTTTATAAATGCAACCAGAATTTTCAGTTCGCGACTAGACTTAGAAGCAATATCAAAGCCTTGTTTACGGTTGGTATGAAGTCTTGAGACTTCTGTCCTGTTCTCTATATCCTTGACTCAATTTTGGACTTACTGTGCTGTGAAACTTCGCCAAAAAAGTAATATTAGGTATACGTTGATGCAGCGGAATTGTTTTTTTCGTGGTTTTTGTTTTTGTGTTGCTCAGGGCTATTGCTTTGCTGGATTTAAAGGCAATATTTCTTTCAGCCAGTAAGAGCAAGAAAAACCAAAGAGCAAGTAATGTTGAAGCAGTATGCTTAAAAAAGTAGAACTGAAGGTCCTGAAAAGAGTACTGAGGATTTCAAAAAATCTGCGGTAGCTTCAAGAAAAGCAAAACTTCTTTTGCTTTCCTCTTCTGATGACAGAATTTCTGCGCTTCTCCTGATCCGCTAAGACGTTTTTTGCTGAGTTTTCAATGGAATTCCTTCTTTTATCAGAACCGTCTTATTCGCATTCGAAATTTCTCTGGTATTTTGTCTAAGCACTTGCAACATTTACTATTAGAATTACTACATTTACTACTATTCACAATATTCGTTTCTGAATTCCTTTGCAAAGTTAAGTTAAAAATTGAAGAAAAATAGCAGCAGGTAATCGAAACAAGATCCTCAGTTTTGCTCCTTTTTTTCCTCGCGTTTATCTGAGCGGATCTTTTGATAACGATTTCTCACAGTTAAAATTAACTGACGTAGGTTTCCATTTTCTTGAATAACAATAGCGTATTTTACTACTGTTCTTTCATTAAAAGAGGTGGCCTAAGTTCAGAAGTGTTTTTTGCTAGTAATACCACCGAAAATAAAAAAATGAAATTTTTTAACGACAAATCAGGTTGAACATAATAATTACTCCAAAAACTGTTTGTTTATGAAAGAGATAAACTGTCAGCGAATGAAAGAATTAACAAACAGCACGTACATTTTCATTAATAGAAAGAAATTATCAATATTAGTTTATTTTACAGCTCTTATACCTGACAAATTTTCTTCAAAAACACTAGAAAATTGAGCGGAAAAGTGGAGTAGATGATTTTAATAACGGTCAGCTTGAAAGCACAATTATAAGTGGAAAATTATGCTCGTCAGACAGTTAACAAAAATTTACAAAACTGCTATACTTTTTTCATCTTTTTAGTGAGACCGTAAGCGTAAGTAGAGCAAATTTCTTTTGAACTTAATTGCATAAATCATATCAATAGTTCTGAAGACTGAGTCTGGATTAGAAGTCAAGGCTTTTCCTTTTTTTTTCTTTTATCAATAGTGCTTATCAACATTTCTTAAAATTAAGCGCCAAATCCGGAGGTCGTTTGGTCGCCTAAACTAAAAAGTATGGAAATATCAGTTAAGAGGTAAAGATATAATGTAAAAGCATTTACTGGAGAACAGATAAAATGAAATGCTTTACTAGAACTGTATTGTCAAAAACTTTATGTACTGGATGATCTTTGGTGCCACTTGTCCTACACTTATGTGCGAGATAACATTGGTAAGTGCATCTGATTATTTTGCTTTGTTGGAGACTGTTTTTATATAAATAGCCTTCAATTTGTACATACAGAAATAAAATCTATCGCATTAAATAAAATTTTTCTGACAGTTAATTTTTTTACGTTTTGTAGCAACAACGTTGAAAACGTTTAGCGTCTGAGAAATTGGTTCAATTTTAAGCAGCTCTAATACATTAAGCAATATTACAGATGCTTATAACTGCATAAGAAGCTCTGTAGCAGCTAAGATTTTTTATTAGTAACCTAAGCATTTATGCTGCTATATTACCCAAAATTGTTTCTGCGGTTACTAGAAGATTATAAAATGTTCCATGATGTCTTCAATGAAGTGCTCAACTGGAATGAAAATGAAACGTCAACGGTAGCGCAGCTGGAGCCACATATGGGTTCTTAGTGAGCAACAAGTAGATTTTCAATAATTAAAGAGCCGTAAAATTTCAGTTCAAAATCTTCAATATTACTTCACTATCAAAAATGTTTATTTGACAAATATAGCAGTGCATATACATCTTTTTTATATGTAATTCATTGCTATTTCATGAAGTAATTTAGCAATATTGTAATCAACATTCTGTTATTATTTTTAACAAAGGTCTGCACTAAAAAGTCAAAGCAAATAAATACATCTGCTGTTAAAACAATTTGATAATCTTTTTTTTTTTGTTAATTTCATTATTTCTTTTCAGTATTTCCTCTGTAGTCGAACTTCTTTTTTCACACAACGCTGTATTCTTTAATGTATGAGTGATAATAATAGAATTTTGTTGCTGTTTCATATAAGGCAAAAAAATTTTTAAATTGTCATGTTGTAACGGGACAGTTAGGAGGCATACCAAACAACACAAATGATCGGACATTATAAGATGTATCAAAACATTATGAAACTTTATTCCCTTCACAGACAACACGCCAGGCAAATCTTTTTCCGTAAAAATATTCAAAAACAAAACAGGAACTATTGTTCTGCCAATAATAATTATACTGTATGAAAAACAAATGAGCAACCATTTATGCTACTTTTTTTTTCTTTTTTTTTTGCTTTTTCTGTAGTTGTCAATGACCAAAACCTTGTTGTTTGGTTGTTAAAATCTGTTTCTTTGGTACAAAAAACTCTTTGAGAGAAAAACATAACGGCATATATAGAAAAACCTTTCATTACATTGTTTAAGCGTTAGATCAGCAACTTGTTACAGTTCTGCTGGTCTTTTAACTAACAATAAATCCAGAAAGGAACCAGATGTTAAAAGAAGAGAATCAAGGGGGGCAAAGATTACTGGGATTCAGCTGTCAACGCAGTTTTATACTTTGGAATTTCACTGTATAAAATAGTGATATTCTAATAAGACTTTAGATACTTCCTTTTTTTTTTTTTTAGTCCTAATGAAGTATCATTATTGTTTCAGCTGTTGTAAGTGTATGTGACAAGTTTTTGATGATAACATTTATAAAACTAAATTACAGCAAAAAATTGATTAAAAATTGTGATAATTTCTAGTTTTGATACATTTATTGTAATTTATTATTGCATCGTCATCTTAAATTTTTGCCTTACAAAAAAGAAAAAAAAAAAGGAAGGAAGGTGAAAAAACGAAAGGTAGTTGATCAAATCTTCCGTTTACTATAGAAGCAAAAAAAAATTTGCAACAACAAATTAATAAAATTTGAATTACTTTTTATTGGCATTTCTGCTAGCAACTTTCCAAAATACCGTTGAGCATTTTAGAATGAAAAAAATTACTTCAAAGAAAATTTTTAATATATCCATTTTACCTCTGTTGTTATTCGTGACAAAAAATATGCTTCTCTTTCGTTCTTGAGGAAAAAAAAGCAATAAGTTAATCTTTATAATTCTGTAAAAACTACCAAATGACTGGACAAGAATTAGTCGAGTTGGGAACGTTAATTGGAGAGAAAAAAAAAGAGGTAGTAATAATTTGAGCCAAGGTCAATTTACCGGACCATAGCCAAAGCACATCACACACACACACACACCCATAACACCGAAAGCGTTGTTGACCAGTGGCTGGGTGATTCACCGAAATCGGCGTTAATATCATTGTTTCATCGCCGTCCATCACCATGAGGCCTATCGCCATTATTATTTGCATACTTTTTATTCAATCTTCAGTTGCTGTGAGTTTTTTGTCATGGTATTTCCGTTATTTTGAAGGATTCATCAAATTTTTGATATGATAATTGTGATATCTGTAGTTTTTCAAAACATCACTACATTACAGCTTCCGGTGGATGATAACATTGAACGTAATGATGAGGAACTGATGAACGTCGATGTTCAATCAAAAAATGTTGCTGATGAGCAAAAAATTGCTGAAAGTGAAGTTGCTGCAGTAGACGATCAAAAAGATCTTATCCAACAGTCAGTTTTTTTTTTGTTTTTTTTTTTTTCTCGGCTGCTTTGATCTTTACTTCCCCACTTTTTTGTTGTCTCGTTTTTCATAACAAGAAAGAAGGAATTTTTGTTTACAAAATTGTATGTTAGTATCTTTAAAGGAATCAAGTAAAATTTTGTTTAAATGATCTAGACATTATTGCATTTTTGTTTTTAGGGAAGATAAAGATGTTTTGGACGACGAAACACATCAAAAAAGTAAATAGTCGTAACTTACCGGTCCATATTTTTTGATGTTTGCTTTTTTTGAAATTTGAGTACTGCATTTACTGCAACTTCCAAAAAAAAAAGACCCAAAGTTTAAAGTTTTCTTCATCGTTTGTGAAAGAAATTGCTCTGGATTTTATTGTCGCTTTTTTTGGCCCAATCCAAAATTTGTTTTTGCAGTTGTTATCAAATGTGTAAGCCAGGTAAAGGTGGGGAAGAAGTATCGGAAAGGTAAACGATGCAATAAGGATAAAGATAATACATCTGACGATGAAAGTACTACTACTGTTAACAGTCAAACAGATAAGCCTGTTATTCCTGTCGGTGATACAGCAGAGAGTCTGGAACCACCCAAAACTGATGTCGAATCCGAACCAGGCGATGTCGATTTCCAAGATTTCAAAAGCAATCGCGGAAAGGAAAGTCAATATTACTACTATTACTATTACTACTACTGAAGCCTAGTATTAGTATATTCAAATTTGTTTGCTTAACCTGTGGGCTAACTTTAGTCACCAGTAATTTTGCATGACTGTTTTTTTTGCTGAAAATTTGTATGTACAAACAGCAATTGTTGGCAAGTTTATAGTCGATTGAAAGTAAAGATCAATTTGTTTGAATAAACAAACTGCAACCGTACACTATGTTTGCTGCTAACACAACGAAACCCAGCAGTTACTTTTTTACGTTATCTTAAACTTAATCTTGTTTACAGTGTCTCTTGTGCCTGCTGAGAATTCAAGTAGTACCAAATTAGTTAGATACTGTCAACAAAGAACAGTGGGATTTGCTAGATTAAGTAATAATAAAACTGTGTTCAGATAATGCTCTTCTTGCTATCTGGTTTCTTATCTGGTAAAGTCTATTTTAAATTGATAACTATAGGATTGCAGATATTTATTGAAAAAAAAGAACTTTTTTTCACAGTGACAGTTGAACACCAATAATTTAATTAAAGATCAAAGATTTCTTAACAGGTTGCTGGTACTTTTTTTTCTTTTTGTCTATGACGGTTTTTTTTTTGGCAGTTCAAAACATAAACACAAAATGTTCAAAATTAACCAACAAAATCTTCAGTGAACAATTGTCTTCGCTTTTCAAAACAACAAAATTAACAGAAAATTGAAAATAGAATCTACAGATGTGTACAAATTGCATTTTTATACCAAAAAAATAATTCAGTTACCCAAATGAAACTGACTGCTCGATTGTGATAGGCGAGTCTGATATGCAATACACTGTAAAAATGGTCGAGCTCCAGGTGCCGACAACAGAAAATGGAACAATGATGCACTACCGCCACTGATCAGAACACTGAAACTGCTGAACAGTTTAGTATTGTAACTTCTAGCAAGATTTTTTTTTCTCCTGGGGTTTACAGGGCGAAAAAATACTGTTTGACGGCGCTGTGGAGGTCTGTAAGATTTGACAATTTGGCAATGCTCTTGTCGTTGTTCTTCTTTTAAAAATTAGTATGGAGCAAAAAAAGAAGGGAAAGGAGAAATCCCTAACAGTGTCATTGAAACATTTTTTGGATGAACAGTAAATAATACATTTATATGAATTTACTTTCTCAGTATACAGTAAAGCAATTATGAAAAACAGCAACTAATTTATGCTTTTTTTAAACTTTTTTTTCATAATTTATTTCAAATCGTTTTT